AGTGCATCTTTAACCGTTAATTTTTTCATGATTTAATGATCGGATCTTTCCGGTAAAAAAAAAATAAATATTGGAATCGGTTCACGCGGTGCAAAGTTATGCGGTGGAATAAATAAAAGAAGTAAAAATACTTCGAAGAATTGATAACCTCCCCTTTTTTGAAGCCGGTTAAAAATGTCAGAGTTCTTTATAAATTTTATGTAAATAAAATGCAATTGATGATACTTTAAAAAGTTTATTTATATATATATTTAGAAGTATAACCCCTTTCCCCCAAAAATATATTCCTGCGTGCGCCCCTGGCACTTAGTATTTATTATTTGTAAAAAATATATTTTTACTTTCAAAATGTTTGTAATTTTAAACATTTCATGTGTATATTTTAAACAACTCGTGTTCAAACTCAAATCTTGCACATATTGTGCGTATACTTGAACAGATTCTGGTTGAAAAATAAACACTTTTCAGTAGTAGTTTTACATGCACTTTTTAGAGTGCAGTTATATGGTAATAGTCTTCATCTTTTTCTCTTCGGTATTTAGTTTCCAAGGTTTCAATGTATCTACCTTATTTTTTTATATCTACTAGGCGGAGAACATTGTTAAAAAGTAATTGTTCTTTAAAAAGATATATTAAAAAAACTAAAAACAATCTTTTCTTAATTTTACATATGTATACTAAAATATGTATGATGTGAAGCATTTGACAAAGTTATGGCTATGGCATCTCTAACTGGACCTTTGCCTAAATTTTTACTCTTGTCGTTTTTATTATTAAATTCAGTTATGTACCTTGTTAAATACATAATAAATACATAAAAATAAATCAAGTAAATAACAGAGTCTTAAAGACGAACAAAGCCTTCTCTTATAAAGTTACGTTAAAAACATCCTAAAAATTCCCTTTTTTCTGTATTTCAGGGATGGTTTGTCGCACTCAGCGCTTAAGGAGTCAGACACAAAGAGACTGGAAATCCTTCGTAATATCACCGATCTACTAGGGCGTACATTTTCATCTCAATTCGTGTTTCCAGTGTTAGGCCATGAAGATGGCACAAATAACTTTCGACATATGGGCGAACTTTGGCGGCATTGGCTGCCATCGGAGGCATTGCATACGTTCGAAAAAGGTGAGTACTAACTTTATATATAAACTGGCCAAAGCGCGCTTGCGACAGATAAGAACTTTGGCTAATGTAAAAATAGCGGTTTGTAAACAAAATCTTAGTTTAGGTTGAAAGGACTAAAGAGCACACTCCTCACACGAAGAATAGTAGCGTTGTGATACAATATGGAATACTAATCCCTTTTGTTGTCATGAGCGTTGCCGGTGGTTCTATTTCCCCCTGTGAGATCTCTTCCAACCGTGCGTATTCTTCCTCTATGATCTTGCAGTTTCGATATTGGTCTCATGGGTCAATCTCTAATCTTATGTCATGTAAGCCAATACAAGTTCCTTATCAAGAAACTTTTATAGGAGTGCTAAGAATCCTCGCTGGTCCGTAGGACATTGGCTAAACGAGTCGTGTGATCTCTTGAATTTCTTTTAAATGAAGCCATTGGTGGACGAATCTTTCCTTGCCAATTTGCCACTCTTACAATTCGCGCCTGACTGCCACAGGAGAAAAGACTCCTTTGTTCTATCTAGGGTTTTGATAAAGATTTCGTTATGCCTCCTAATGGCAAATACTTCTTCTTGATAAACCCGTGACGTGGTGATGTGCCCAGAAAAACTGAATGACCAGAGATTATTTATTAAAATATATTTGTGTTTAACATTAATATAAAAGACAAAAATAGGAACAACAAAAACTTGCAAAATCTGTAGAAAATCACAAGTGAAGCATAAAGAAAAACATAAGGATAATATATTGATTAAACTATACCTGATTACATAGCGAGCCTCAGACGAAAAATGTATAACTTTGGATATGACATAGCATTTTAAATAAAATAAAAATACAAAACACGCTTGAAGTTGCTTATATTCAAACTATTACGAACTTGAGATGGAATCGAGTACGAATAGCATTGACAAAAAATAGGCTTGCAGATGGTAGGTAATTGTAGTTGGGTGTAATCAATTCCGTAGGGTGCGCAGACTTCGGGAAAGATAGTTTTTCAAACAACTAGCTAAGTTTCTTATCCACCATAAAGCGAAATAGAAAAATACAATTTATAGCTTTCAGGTATTCAGAAATACCGCATCCCAAGAGCACTGATTTCCATTCAGATATCTGATCGTATTTCGCTAACCGAAAAATATACCGCGTAACGTGATTGAGCACCACATCAATATAATGATAATAAACATCGTCTTAAAAAACATTTAATGTAAATTATTATTAACATTTATCTTTCAAGCTCCACAGCTCAAAAACTCTTTGTCGGATGGCATTTGCTCACAGATATTTTTTTGCAGAAAATTGCATGCCCTAAAAAAGCTGTATACTCGTTTTTCCCAAAAAAAAATTTAATACCGAAAAATCGAATTGAAACCGAAAAAAATGTCCCGTCTTATTTATATGGGAAATCGAATATTTGAAAGAGCTATGCCTGTGATGCACTTAAAATTATTTTTTAAACGGCATAATTTTTTTTTATTTTCTATGAGCATCTGATACGCTCAGGTAGCAAAGAGAAAAAAATATATATCGCCTAAAAGTGAAACAAACTAATATATATACATCCATGTGCATACGCAAATGTAAGTTTGTTACAGTAGATCATACTTGCGGTAACTATGTAAGTAACCTGCAACCTTTTGTAAGTGTTTATCCAATCTATTCTAATTCATATCACCAAGATCTTATCCAAGCTTATCCAGTTCTTGTAAACGTGCTGCACCCTTATTGATTCCATCTGTTAAGGCTGGTTTCGAGCCGATGTCAAATAAATCAAGAGAGACTCCCATATCTTTTTTGTCATCCCACTAATATTTAAATCTTTTAACTTTCCAATGGAATAACTCTTCTCAGAACCATTCCATCAGACTCTGAAGAATTTTGGATAATTGCTTACGGAGTGAAAACAAACATACATATGTACACATTTATAAACGAAAAATAAAGCATCGCTTTATAGCCCGATCACTTTAGACTGAAATCGACGTAAGAAGAAAAAAAATCCAGGAAGAAATTTTATGATATTTAATGAAAATGAAAATTTTTCCCCCAATTGTGATATGGGAAATGTCCGCCATCTTGGATTTTGTGTTTTTTACGATTTGCACGCGAAAAAAGGTAGAGAAAAAATTTGTAGAGAATTCGATTCCCCACAATTTTCATGTGCCCATCATTTTTTTAAACAATTAATTATTGCTAATAATATGCAAACAATGCCCAAAATTCGGTAAGTGGTGCGATTTTTTCGAATTTTGAGCAATTTCTATTTGAAATAAGTAGCACATTTAAATAGCAAGTTGTAGAGGACAAAATTTCCAAAACACGCATTATTTATATGTTCGCGTATGACGTGTAGATCTCGACCAACAACGCGCTAAATGCAGCGGCAAGGGAGAAGCTACTCAAAACTTTTTTCCACACCACTTCAGAGGTAAGCTTTTATTTTTATGTGGTTTCACCAGTAGTCCTAATCCACACAAAGTTATTTTCGCCGCAATAATATTCTTTAGATTCAGAGAAAAGTCGAATTGATAACAGGGCAAAAACTATTTGCTAATTACAGTTTCAACTGACTGAAAATAGTTAACCACAGTTGAAAATACGCGACAAAAAACACGACCCCCGAGATAGTGTGAAAAAAGTTTTGAGTAGCTTTTAAACATTTGCATATCACTTTGAATCTCATTTATTACATAAGCTAGTGTTGAAGTTTTTTCCAGCTTCCTTATGACATTTTTCGTGGTTTCATGTCTGGTTTTTCTTGGGAAGCAGGCTTTTTGTTTAATCTTTCTTCGGCAACAGTTTCCCCTATATGCCATTTGAACACTTTTGGAGAAATAAGCTTTTTAAATAAAAAATCCTTTTTCACCTAAAAGTGACATTCTGGAAATATTTCGCATTTTTCGGTTTCTTTTTCTAAGAGTCTTATTTCACGAAAACATATAAACAAGAAAATAAACCAGTTACATTTAGGAAAATTCAGAGGGACAATATTTTGCCTTATCCTGAGTTTCGACTGAAAAAAAGTTCACCCGAAAATTTGTCATCCGCCCATAGTAAAACCATGGAAACCAAGAGTGAAATGTGAACCAGTTCGGAGAAGATGAAACTCATGATAAGGCTGATTATAATAGAAAGCCGCGCGAAAATAGAGTAAAACAATAAAGATTAAGGTGGTCATTTATAAACAGTTACGCCTTTTTTTCATTGTTCCCTTGCCTAAACTTTTTTTCGTGTTGATTATCAAATAACCAGCAGGGACAAATACTTTTAAATGAAGTAGGTAAAATATATCAAAGAAATACCGTTCGCAAAAGAAAACAAAACGGTTTACACTAAAAAGAAACATTGTTAGTGGCTTATTATTTGGTTCGTATAATGCTGATTTTAATATGTCGTTTTTACCACCATAGAAAATTTAAAAAGGGGGAAACTAAAAAAATGACCCACTTGCATATCAACCGCTTTTCCCCTGCCCAATGAACTGTAAGTGCAAGTATGTGCTTCAATTTTACTGTTCTCAAGCAGTGTTGCCACCGCTCAAAGAACCTTCTAACCAAGATTAGACGAAAAAGTTACCAAATGTAAGGAAAAATAACCAATTTTTTTTATTAGATTAACAATACAGGTCATAACAAATTCTTTTATATGGTACGTTTACAAACCAAAGAAAATCAATTTTAATTTGCGTTTTTGAAAAGTAAATCCTTTTAAGGCTGTAATATGTAAATACATATTTTAGAAAATCATTCTTCTAATATTAATACATTCATTCCAAATATTCTCACTTGGTTTCACTGCTGGGGCTGCCACTGCTGCTGCTACTCTCCTCAACCTCGACAGGTGTAGCAGGCCTATGTCAATTAAAAACTACAGTAAATATTAAAAAAAAATAACCAAAACGAGAAAGATCTTAACAACTTCACAGGCAAGAAAAAAATAACCAAAATTGGTTAAAAGTAACCAAAACGGCAACACTGTTCTCAAGCTTAATTCTATGCATTAAAAAAAAAATTGTTAAAGACCGATGGCTGTACATTATAGATATTAAAGAAAAATTAATATGGGAGGTCTTCATTAGAGCAACAGAAGCCAAATTAACAGTTTTTAGAAATTTTGTCAGTCTGTATGTTGGTATGTTTGCAATGTATGAAATTGAATGCACTTCTCACCGATGCATTGCTAGAGATAAAATTTAAAATATTGAAAACAATATTAGAGAGGCCACTTTTATAAATTTGTGTTAAAGCAAGATAATATAAAGTAAATGTTGAAGTATGGCTGTCAAAAGAAAGTGGTTATAGAAAGCCGACTACCATACCTACACAAAAGCGTTCAGGGTTTTCTGACGCCTAGCGTTAACGCCGAAGTGCAATACCTAAACAAAACCGGCAGCGCTACTTCAAATGAAGAAATAACACCAACAATAAGCATATTTTTGTTTGTGTGAACTACGAAAATGACAGTTTCGCGGTTTTTTGCAGCCAACTTCACTTCCTAACGCCCTGTCAAAATCGGATTTTCTAACCGCTAAGCGTTGACGCCGCGTTATTTCGGTATGCTTCGTACAAATTGTATGGGCATGAGAATTTTTCGATAGTCAGATGGCAGTTACAGGCGAAAATATTTTTTGGAAGGTTGCTACCTGTTTAAAAATTTTAATTTAATTTTATTATTAAATACTAGCAAATACCCGGCGTGTTTCGCTACGCCTTTAAAGTATTTTTGTTTTGTTACTCCCTCTCAACTATGAAATATATATATAAATATAAAATATTAGTTTATACTGCAGTACATATTTGTATAGTAGGCAAATTTTTCAAATTAGATAAATATACGGTATTTGAATACTAAATTAATATACGTTTGAGAAAAGGATGCGATAGTAGACTCCAGTTATAAGATTATAAATTAAATTTCCAAGAGAAAGTCGGTTCTTTACATATTTTCTAATTACCTTCGAAAACATATGTATTAACTAACACCCATACTCAAAAAAAAAAAAATAAAAAATAAACAATGCTTCATAGATAGAAATTTGTTTTTTAAGTCTTACTTCATAAAGCTCTTTAAATATATTTAAAAAATGAGGCCAAGAGAGTTTTGAGAGAGACTTACAACACAAAAATAAATTTAAGGCGCAGCGAAGCACGCCGGGTAATTGCTAGTATATGTATGTATATGGGGTGCTCCATACCAAAACGGACAGGGTTCACACTTCATGTGTTTGATTTGTTTCTAATTTTTAGGGTTGACATAAATAATAAATTAATATTAACCCTAGAATACACACCCGGGTACAAATGTATCCACTTTCAACTTTGAAGTGTTGTAACTTTTGAACCGCTATACCTCTATACCGCTAACTTCGGATCTAAGAAGATTATTTAGTTCTGAGTTCAAATTCAAAATTTGAACCAGATCGGACCATTGGTTCAGGAGCTACAGCCTTCCAAACACATTATATACGTAAACACACACCCGGGATACGTTTGTACCCCAATAGTAAAAATCCTCATAATAATAAAAAAAACATTTTTTATATTATTTTTTTATTTGAAAAATTAAAAATATTCATTTCACACATTATATTATTGACTTTTATTATAAAAATTATAAAAATGCATCTTATATCTAAGGAAAATCATGGCAAATAGAGCAATTTGTTGATGTGACCGAATGTTCAAGACACATTGGCTTCATACATTTGTCGCACAGCTTTCTGGTTTTTCTACGGCGTTTTTCCTCTTGTGCGTAACATAAATAGCAAGATCCGGACACAGGTTTTGGCGTGCGCGCTGCGGCAGATGTTGATGCTGCTGTTGACACCATTGATTCCACCGGTCGGTTGAAATATGCTTCAATAGCAATTTTAGTCTAAAAATTTCGCGTCACTTGACGATTTCTGGCTCTGGCTTCAATAATGGGCATACACAATGCTTCAGCCAAGCTGCGCAGGATCTACTTACGCTTGTTGTTTGTTCTCCAAGGCAACATAGGGTTATTCAAATCGTAGACAATGTAGGCTGCAAGAGCTGTAATGTCCAACATGTTGAAGAACATCGCTAGTGGCCATCGTTTTGTTTGTCTTTGTGTTGGATATTCCGCAAACATTTGGTCCATTCGATCAACACCACCTTTGGTACGATTATAATATTCAATTATTTCAGGTTTCCCACTGTCAGCTATTTCAGCATCATTATGCATGGTCGAAAGCAAAATTACTGCTTTATTTTTTTGGGAACATAAGAGCACATTGTCACATTATTTTTGAAGCCAAATGTCGTTGAACCAATTGTCCTGTTTTTGTTCTGCTTCATTTCTTGAGGAATATATGATTTGTTTTTGCGCAAAGTTCCAACGATCGTGAGTTTCCAGGTGAGAAGCAGTTCTGCAACTGGCAAGGTCGTAAACAAATTGTCCATTGTAATGTTTCGGCCACTTCCTTGGTATTTGGCAGACAAATCCTTCGCCACTCGTTCGCCTTGGTTCGTTTCCCTACCAGTTTCTGCTTGGCCAGTATATATTTGTCCATGCAGTGGATATGCATTTGTGGCATCGGAAGTCCACCAAACCTTGATACCATATTTAGCAGGTTTTGACGGTATGTGCTGCGTAAACCGTGTGCGTCCACGGTAAGGAAATAATTGTTCATCAATCGTCAAGCATGAGCTGGGCTTGTAATGTGCAGCAAGATTATTGTTCATCATCGTCCACAACTCACTGGTCGGTGCTGCTTTATCAGTTAGTAAGCGTGTTGCACGAGTGTTTTAATCGTCAAATCTTAGGAACCGCAATATCGAACAGAAACGGCTGACTCCCATTGTGGCGCGATATAAAGGATAGTTTTTGACGCTCCATAAATCTCGAACATGTTCTCCATTGCTATGGTTCGCACCAGTCATAATAAGTATGCCAAAAAATGCATACAGCTCTGTTATTGACACAGGCGTCCATGACTTAGGAGTTGTGTTTGGATGCGCATTGTTGTAAGCATTATAAGTTTCTTTTGCTAACTTATTTGTGTGGCGCATAATTATATCAGCCATTTCAACGTTCATGAAACATTTGAATGTTTGCTCTATTGACAACATTTCAGTGCATCTAGCTGGTCCAGAACGTTCTCTTATAATATTTTGTCTGAGTACCTGACGACTTACATTTGGTTCTTTCATCCACTCAGTACCATCACGTGCAACAAATTTTTCGGCACTAGCAGGTAATTCATTATTTTCTTCTACTTCTTCTTCTTCATCGTCTTCTTCATCATCCTCATAGTCCGCATAATCAGGTAATACTTCTGCGGCACTTTGCGAAACTTCAGCATCGTCATCAGCAATTTCAATGTCATTGATTTGAATTTCTTCTTCATCTTCTGAGTCAAAGTCATAGGGAGCGTCATCGTCACAAATTTCATCAAATAAAGATTGTATATATGATTCTCGCTGTTCCTCAGTTAGCCTGCGTAATAAAAAAAATTAGTATATGTTTACATTGTTGCTTATTTTACATTTTTTACCTTCTATATGCTGCACTTGATAAATATTCGTTTCTTCTTGAAGTCATTTCGTATCCAGTTATTTATAGTTTCAGTTATATTTATTTTCACTTCTTACACTTTTGAGCACCAAAACAATAATGAAAATATCAACAGGCAGCATTTATAACAACACCTCGTGTGAAAACAACCCTTGCAGCTGCATATAAAATACAAACACCAGTTATACCAGTGTATTTGCTTCCTACGTACCCATACCTTGCGCGACCTTTTTGCACATATCTTTTGAACCAGGTAGAATATTTCAATGAAATAAAAACCAAAATGTGTATTCGTTGTTACTCTACAAGTATATTATTATAAATTATATTATTTTGTTTTGCATTTATCAGGACAACAACAAAAACAAAAATCCACTGTTGCATGTCCTGACTTTATTTGCCCATATCGCTGGAACCAGTAGGAATATTCGAATGAAACAAAAGACAAAATACTTGTTATATATTAAAATATACATTTCAAAAAAAAAAATCATAGAAATCGGTTGAATAAGCATTAAAAAAACCGCAAAATAAGGTCCCGGGTACAAACGTATCCCGGGTGTGTGTTTACGTGGTATTTTCT